GCGCCCAGGGCCGGCGGGGAAACCGAGGCCCGCGGGCCCGCAGCCGCGCCTCCTGGCTGGGGGAGCGCCAGCCTGAGGGCAGGGCAGACCTGGCTTCCAGGGGGCACCCGCTCCTCCCGCTGCTGACGACAGGAAAATACACTAGAAGTGGCGCACGGTTCTATAGGGTGCCTACTTGGCGTGGACCGGGCTGTCCTTGGCACTTTTAAGCCTCTAAGTCAATAACAGTAGCAGTAGTACTAATAATATCAGCGACAAAAACGCAAAAAAGAACACTTCGATACTAACCATGTGCCAGGCACTGTGCTCAGTACTTTTAAGTTTATAACTTACTGAATAGAAATAGCAACCATCGTCGGGGGTTTCAGCAGCAAAACCCTCGAACGCGCGCGCACACACACACAAAACAAAAACAGAAAACAAACAAATAGCAACCATTGTGTTTTTATCAGCAGCAACCAGAAGTAACATTTTTTCTCACACTTGCTGTGTGCACATACTATTCAAAATATTTCAAAGGATATTGACACATTTGGTCCAGCTGCTCTAAGAGTATCATGTCACCCTGCCTTCAAACTCTCCAAAGATGTCCCCAAATTAAAGCCCACGAGGCCCTGTAGGACCTGCCCCCTCCCCTCCCTGCCCTCCCCCCTCTCCCTCTCTCTCCCTCACCTGCTCTGCCTCAGCCACACAGGTTTCTGTTCCTCCAGCACGGCAGGCGGGGTCTGCCTCAGGGCCTTTGCATGGGCTGTGCCCTTTGCCTGGAATGCCATCTCCCAGATGGTGCATGGCTGACTCACTCACTGGATCCTCATCACTTTCTCTCTCCATCTTTTCTAAAATCATTCAGCCATTATCATCTCCTTTCTCTGGCTTGCTTTTTCCTCCATGGTATGTATACCCTTTTAACTTAACTCTAATATGCTATATATTTACTTGTTTATTAATGAACCACATAGCTCTTTCCAGGTGCCAGGCTCTGTGCTGGACACTCAACATGTAAGAACTCATTCAATCCACACAACAACCCTCTGGGTGGGCGCAAATAAACAGATTCTGACAGACTATGTTTGGTCGGTGTAGCATGGGACTCTTGATCTCGGGGTCATGAGATCAAGCCCCATGTTGGGGGTACAGATTACTTAAATAAACTTTAAAAAAAAAACACTTAATGCAGGGGTGCCTGGGTGGCTCAGTCAGTTTAGCATCTGACTCTTGATTTTGGCTCAGGTCATGATCTCAGGGTCCTGGGATTGAGACACATGTCGGGCTCCTTGCTCAGTGTGGAGTCTGCTTGAGATTCTCTCTCCCTCTGCCCCTCCCCCTGCTTGTGAGCACTCTCTCTGGAGTGAATACATAAATCTTTAAAAAAAAAACTTTCTAAAAAAAATAAAAAACAATGTGATATTTAAAAGATCAAAATGCAAAAAATTACAATGAACAAGACATCAAATTTTTAAATAAGCACAGAATTAGTATTACTGAGCTTTCCCATTGGCTCAGCATGGCACTGTTACTGATCCTGATTTTAATTTTTAATTTGTTTTATTTTTATTTTAAATTAAAAATTCTGTTTTAAAACAAAGACAGGACCAGTAACAATGCCATGCTGAGCCAAAAGGGAAACTCAGGAATACTGATTCTATTTAAAGTGTTGACATTTTGTTCATTATGGATTTGTTGGTCATCAGTGCTGACTTTTTTAAATTGCATTAAAATAATCTTTATCTTGATGACTGGGTTTTTTGGCACCCCCTTAAACTTTCTCCCCAGGTGAGCTCACCCTGGTCCCTCCCAGCACAATCCTCAAAGCAACCAACTGTAAGAGGGGCGTACTGTTTCTATACCCACTCTATAGAGGGGGAAACTGAGGCTCAGAGTGGTCAAGTCACACGGAAAGAGTGCCAGGATTTGAACCCAGCCAGCTGACTCTGGAGCTCACACACTTCCCGCGATCCCACACCATCTTCCTCACGCTACAGGTAGCTAAGCCTGGGTTTCCTTAATTGTCAAGTGACACCAAAGAGTGAACAGGGGGATGTCCCTGGCATGAATTCAGTGAGCTAATTGGTGAGGCTTAGTATAGTGCCTAGGACATTCTTAGCACTCAATGAATGGCTATTGTCACGACTTACCAGCAGCCACCTGCCCAACCACAAACAGGAGCAGGACATCAGGGTCAGCTGAGAAGCAGGGGTGGGGGGTGGTCAGGAGTCCTCCTACAGCATCCCACCCCTTGGCCCTGCCTGGCCCCTGGTTCTCGGCTCAGCCCCAGGATGGGCTGGTGGAGCAGGGCCGGAGACAGCTTCCGTCTCCATGGAGACCGGAGGACGGTGCCCGAAGCCCTGTGGGTCTCTGATGTGCCAGGAGAGTCAGTAAAAAGGACAAAAATTAAACCCAGCAGGCACCCTGTGAGCTGAAGATGCACCTTCCTTAGCCTCTTGCTTCTACCCAAAATGAACTGGGGGGTGGAAGGGAAGGGGCTGGAGAGAGCCTAGTCCAGCTCCCGCCTGGCCTTGGGGAGCTTAAACTCAGCGTTCCACCTTCTGAGTGATACTCAGCCCTGGAGTTCATTCCCTGACCCAGCTGGTGCACCTCAGCCGGAGCAGGGGTGGGGGAAGGGCAGGGAAAACAGCCTGTGCATCTGGAAGCATTTGGAGCCCACGAGGACGCTTCTCTGAGTTGTTTCCAGCCCGGGGGGGGGGGGACCTGGTCACAATTGGCATCATGGCAGGGGTCCCGCCAGCTGAGATATTACTGAAGAAGCAGAGGGTGGGAGCAGAGCCCGTTGGAGAGTCCGGGTGGGAGGCTTCCAGCAAATCACTTGGCTCTCCCGTCCTCAAGGCCCATCCACGCTGTAGCCATTGTCATCTTCCACCACAAGGATGGACACATTGTGGACGCTTGGGCTGCAGGGAGCGTGGGCGTGCAAGTATCTGTTCGAGTCCCTGCAAATCAGCTTTTTTTTTTTTTAAGATTTTATTTATTTATTTATTATTTAGAGAGAGCGTGAGCGCACTTGTGAGCACAGGGAGGGCAGAGAGAGGGAGAGAGAGAATCTCAAGCAGACTCTGTGCTGAGCATGGACTCCATCTCACAACCCTGAGATCATGATCTGAATCGAAACCAAGAGTCGGATGTTCAACCGACTGAGCCACACAGGGGTCCCTCAATCAGCTCTCTAAATACAAAACAAAACAAAACAAACTTAAATAAATTGATCTTAAAGGCTGGGATGCCTGGCTGGCTCAGTCAGTTAAGTGTCTGCCTTCGGCTCAGGTCATGATCCCAGGGTCCTGGGATCGACTCCCACACTGGGCTCCCTGCTCGGCGGGAACCCTGCTTCTCCCTCTGCTGCTCCCCTTGCTTGTTCACTCGCTCTCTCTGACAAATAAATAAATAAAATCTTAAACAAATTTTATCATAAAGGCAAATCTACATTGCTGCCTTAAAAAGGAATGAGGTTTATTAGATATGCAGTGAAAACCGTATTTTTTAGGAGGTTTAAATTGGACTCTGGCGCTCTTACTCTTGGTTCAGAAGGGCCATCAGCAAGCATTAGAGGTGTGAAAGACCCGTTAGCACCTGAAAGACTTTCTCCTGACTTCAGGGGAACCACAAACAGCTGGAAAAGGTGGTCTTTCCATCAACCCCCCAAATCACAGTGGGAGTCCCACCTTTTGGGAAACCCTGGATTAGGGGACGGTGCTCTAACCCTAACAAAAGGTGGTTTGTGCTGTGTGGCCCTGGGTGAATCACCTGAACTCTCTGGGCCCCAACTCCTTTATCAGTAAAATGTGGGGAGGGGCGGTGGCAATTCTGTGAAACGGAGCTGTGAGGCTCACATGATATTGTGGATGGGTAGCGGGGTGAGCCTCAGCCCTGTAATAACGGTGTCCAAGAAACGCCGAGTTTTTAGACTCTACAAATTCACTTAAATCCCGATTCTTGCCCCCAGCCTTCCCCTGGCTGGCGGGAAACCCTGGGGGCTGACATTCCTGTGTCAAAACCTCCTCCTCCCCAAGCATGCAGGAGGTGGCCCTGAGCAGC